AATCTTCAGTGTCACATGATCCTTTGGAAATCATTCTAATATGCTGATTTGCTGCTCAAGAAACATTTTGTACGATTGTTATTTGAAAAATAAATCTTTTATAACATTATAAATGTCTTTTCTGTCACTTTTAATCAGTTTGATGTTCTCTTGCTTAAGTATTCAGTATTAATTCTTTACTGCTTTTTAACAGACAAAGACAGAGTTTGACGAACAACTAAAACCAGCAAAAAGCAGTCTTAAATCAAAGAGAAATGGTGATACCTTGAAAAAACAGGTAAAAACGTGTGACCCTGACAGTACAGCTCACAGTATTGTGTTCAAAAGTTTCAGCTTTCTAAAACAATTTATTACTTCCTGTGTCTTCAAAAGGTTTCCAAATCACTATCAGTTAACCCCTGCACTCCAGTCCAGACCTCCATGAAGCCTTCCATCTCTGACCACTGCCGGCTGTATTTTGGAGCTATTCAGAAGGCCATCAGTGTGTTTATAAGTAGCCTAAATGATGGCCAGCCACCTGAAAAGTTCATCTCCCACAGCAAGCTGGTCATTATGGTGGGCCAAAGACTCGTGAACACTTTGTGTAGTGAAGCTAAAAATCGTGAGGCCAGCCAGGAAATGTTGTCTGTGAGCAATCAGCTGTGTGCCCATCTCAAGCAACTGGCCATGATGACCAAGAAGGCAGCTTTGGACTTCCCTGACAAACTGGCTCTCCAGGAGGTGCAGGGCATTGCCAAAGAGTTGGCTCAAAGGGCACAACACTTCAGAATGTCACTGGACGTCTGAGCAGCAGTTTTGCCATCTGTTTGTCCAGTGTATCTTGTGGAAGTGGGCTGGTGAAGACAACGTGGTATATGTGAAATATCTCAATTTGTGTGATTTGTATGTGAGACTAAACCAGCCACCGTTAAAAGAAGCTTCACTGATTTTTTTCCCCCAACTTGTTAGTCTGGATGAGGAGGCAGTGTTAAAGGTAGTAAAGGGACAACTTATAATTATAACCTCAAATAATGGCATTGATGTCTTTACATGCACAACAGTATGCTGATGCAAAAATAAAAGTATTTGTACAAATATCGGTAAAGGTGTTTACATATAGATATTAAAAATGTGTTGCAATCAGGTCTTGCTTTCACCATTTAAAAATGTTACCCGATAAAAGAACATTGTTTGGACTTAGATGTTGTTGGGTTATTAAGCAATATCATTGTATGATTGTGCATGTAAGCACATAAAGACAACACAGAAAACATACTTGTTGCTGTGTAGATGTTAAAGTGACAGTTCACCCAAAAATGAAAATTCTGTCATGTTATGACAGAATGTTAATTTTCGGGTGAACTGTTAACAGTCTTAAACACGATTTGTGCATCTATTCGCCTTATTCTTTTTTGTGTACTCACTCTGCCAAACCTCAGACTTTAAATGACTTAAGCAAAAATTGCACTTTTATAATGCCTGACACTGTATACAGATTTTTGGTCATAAGTAGTCAAAATGTATGTAGATGACTATAGTATGTGTCTCTTTTTTGTACAATTATTGAAAATTCAGTGTTTGAGCAAAATGTAAATATTTCCTCAATACAATTGATGTTACTTTTTTGTATAATTTGTCAGTTTTCTAGTTTTCAGTCTTTTCATACACTCTAAGATTGTAGCATTCTGTTTTTCCCCCACATATAATTATGAAAATATTTCTTCTTGACACAAATAAAATGTTATTTACCAACATTTTTCTGACTGTTTAATAGGCTATGTTGTGATTAGGGCTGGACGATATGGCCAAAATTGATATCACGATATATTTCTTACTTTCGGTCGATACGATATAATTCCGATATCGATATGAACACTATTTATCTGAAATAGAAATCTTTTGTAACATTATAAATGCCTTTATCATCACTTTTGATCAATTTTAAGCATCCTTGCTAAATAAAAGTATTAATTTCTATCATTTCTTTCCCAAAAAAATAATAAAAATGATACTGAATGGAATAGTGTATAATGTTACAAAAGCTTTTTATTTCAGATAAATGCTGATCTTTGGATCTTTCTATTCATCAAAGAATCCTGAAAAAAAAATGTACTCAACTGTTTTAAATATTGATATTCAGCAAATCAGCATATTAGAATGATTTCTGAAGGATCATGTGACACTGAAGACTGGAGTAATGATGCTGAAAATGTACCTATGTATGATCACAGGAATAAATTACATTTTAAAATCTATTCAAATAGAAAGCAATTTTAAATAGTAAAAATATTTCAACATTTTACTGTTTTTGCTGTACTTTGGATCAAATAAATGCAGCCTTGGTGAGCAGAAGAGAATTCTTAAAAAAAAAAAAAAACATTAAAAATCTTACTGTTCAAAAACTTTTGACTGGTAGTGTAGGCTGATTATTCTTATAGATTGAAACAAATGTGCTTCAGCCAGAAAAAAGGGTATGAAAAGTGCTCCGAGTCGCTGCAGAAAACAAAAAAATTGAACAACAACAAAAACTGGAAATGTTGCTGGAGACGGGCTTATTTAAAATGAAAACTCATTCTC